GAATTTATACAGTGTGAGCAACAATGATTGAAGCGTGCGTCATCACCGCTTGTTCCTATTAATATCAAAACTACCTTCTTTGTATGAAGTTGTATACGAAAATGACGTTCTGCGCTGTCACAGTGACGTGCGTCTATTCGTATTTCGTATCTTGTATCAAATCAGCATATGCTATGAGCGGCACATTGCCAATTTAGCTGAAGCGGCACGCTTCAATCTTTGTTGCTCACTCTGTAGTAGGTAGTAGCTGCCGTCAAGTTTATACTACCCGCCATAAGTATCTGAACACCCAGTGACTTTGATCAATTTTGATAAAATTTTCAAGGCAGTTGTATTTATGTCGAATTAAGAAACGATGAAAATTTGAACATAATAATAAACGTTTAAACAAATATAGTAAACGAGCTCCTGGGTATGGCTATAGCATGTTCAAGACCAAATTTTGCACCTCTAAATGATATACTCATAGGTATCAAATTTCATTTAGATGCTTTCATAATTAAGAAAGTTGGCACTGTGCATCTGAAATACCCATCAACATAATTTTATATATTATTATAGTCCTGAATATTACGGATGGAAGTTAACGCACACAGATAATTATGAATTTAATTGGTTCGACGGCGACGACATGCCCACTACTGTCGGATATATCATTCTGGATCGCATTGACCAAGAGAATGAAAATCAAATCGATTTGAGTAGTGTCGAGGGCAATGGGAACGAAACAGAAGAGACCCATGACGATGTTGAGGAATCCGATACCGATGACGAGTAATTGTTAAACGCGAGTACGATATCTTGTCGGGATAAGTTAATCAATTTAGAACAATTATTCTTTTGAATGGATTGTGTTACCAATTTTTAATAATAAAATCATTTTTCTGAAGCTCGCGAGAAGGTCGTTTTCAAGGTTTCTTGCTTGTCCCAGTTATAGCACAAAGATGTTTTAAGAAAACAGATTTTCGAGTATGGCGCCATCTTTAGCCTTCATGACGAGTATGGCACATATATCATGGGTCAATGTGGAGCATGAACTTTCGGAAAATCCAAATGCCATACTGTAGCAAATCGCCCAAAATTATTAACAAAAATGACATCTTTGTGCCGGTATGGCGGCTATGCGGGCCCGTCGCTGCGGTATGGCAGGTTGATTTTCGTGAATGACTGATTGAGGACTTGATGCTCATAAAAAAATGAGCTTGTAGCAAATCACCCAAAAAAAATACAAACAATCGACACTTTCAAATGAGTATGGCGGGCTATAAGGCCCATCGGAAAAGTATGGCATTTCGTTTCCGTCATTTGTTTTTTCACCGATTACCAGAAAATCCAAAGAATTTTGTGTAGCAAATTGTCCAAAATCATTCAATTTTCCGACATGTTTAAACAATCGTCACGCAATAACGGCCCCACTCCCAGAGAGTTAGCACCATTTTCGTTTCGAGGAGTACTTAATTAAACCTATGAATGGTCGCCATACTTGTAGCAAATCACACCACAAAAAGTGTCATCATCTCCCGGTCTATAATAAGTTCAACCTTTCAATATAGAATTTTATATTCGAGCGTTCAGTTCAGTATTTTTTCATACGTTTGGCATCGACGTGTCTTCAAATATCCTTCGATCTATTAAGGTTGCCGTACATTTGTCCGTTATGTTCCGTCACGTCGACGAATGGCGTACTTCGTAAATATCGTTTAGTTTTCATAAAGGAAAAGTCAGAAATTAAGGACAAGTTAAAATAGTTTCTTGCGGAAGTAAATCTTCTTGGGCGCGTGGTGAAATAGCTTTTGACTGATAATGATACTGAAGTTGTGACCAAGGACGTTCAAAAGATTTACAGAACAGCATGGTCTTCGCCACGGAATTTTTCTGCATACCTAGGTCACAAAAAATGGCGGTGCCAAGCGAAAAAATCGGAAATTGATCTGGTCTGTCTTTGACCCAGTCCACCCAACCAGTAACTACAACAGAACAGATATTTTGAAAAAACGCGATGTGCAAATTAGCTCCTAAACATTGATTGGATGCGAAAGAACTAATGTCATAGTGTAAAAATATACACTATGCTAATGTTAACACAGGATGGGAGAGAGGAGCAATACGCATAATTGAATTAAAAATTGGTAAACTCCTTCAGTGGTCTATTGCTCACCAATGAGTTAACCCTACGCCATTTGATGCAAAAAATTGACGGCCACACAAGAGGGCCAAGCGCATTTTCGGGCCCTGTGGGATCATTACTAAATGACTGTGCAAACAAATCTGTTATTGATTTTGAACCGATTGACACGGTGTTGCCAGAAGTTGACAAAAAAGATCGTAGGCACAGATCAGCAATACCTTTACAAAATATTTTGTGCCATTCGGAATCGAAGATGTGAAATGAACTTGGTCAAGAAATTACCTGGAAAAGTGAGTCATGCAAGGAGGTTGACAACAGCTATCTGGGTACTCCGCCTTTATATTTCTACAGAATATCCGTCAGAAGCTCTTAAAATCTTAACAGAGTTTGGTTCGAGGTAAAAACACAGCCCTTGTGTCATTTTGTAACCCCCCGGGGACGCAGCGAGAAATTGAAATACACTAACCAAATTTTTGTGGGTCAAAAGAGAGGTCATACCTATCAGTTTATTGGTATGACAAATCAAAAATATGACTTTTGAAAAAAAAATTCTTTAGAGCCCATGGGGCGCGCTTTACAATTTTGTTCAAAAAACAGGTTATTTGTTTTTGCAACTTTTTTTTTACTGTAACAAGAGATTTCAAAAAAAAATTTAGTTTTGCCTTTTTCGGCCCGGCCTAGTGTCAAAGTCAAGTGCTGAGGGTTTTCCCAGCGTACAAGAATGGGCATTGGTGAAACGACTCTGGAAGTACATACATAAAAGATAATGAAAAATGTCATGTTGCTTTTGCCATGTTAAATTACATTTTTTTTATCATTAATTACAATCGTTTACCATTCAATTCTTGCAAGACTTGTTTATTTATTTAACCACAGATCTATCTCATCACATATTCTCGAAGTATCAGAAATATTAATGACAAAATGACCAAATGCACACAAATTATCGTAGTAACCGTAAAAGTTTGTTGTAGCGACACTTCAATTCGGTTGCGATCGTTCATCATTTCAGAATTATGAATTTTTCTCAAAGAAAACGAAAAAATCATTATTTGTTTTTTATTATTTTTTGTTTTGGCTGTAATGATTTCATTTGAGAGTAATGAGATATTTATTATTAAATTGCGCAATCAATTAAATTAACTACGATTCATTGGATCACATGTTTCAATATAAACGGAAAGCGCAAGTAGAGAAGTGGTGTTTATTTAGGTCTTTTGTACACGAGGAAAGAAATTACTTCTAATTTCTCTTGGGCAAAATGGATGGGTTTATATATACACTCGAAATAGGCTATAGCGCGGTTTCAAAATTCACAACATTTATTTTAATACAAAATTCAGTATTTGAGACCACGTGATAGCACGGCAACAGATACCAAGCATGTAAATAAAATAACTTACATAAATCAATATAGGTTCCTTCAGTGGTCCGGGTATTCGTATTTTTTCCAATTCCTTCTCCCTTTCGTATAAAGCCTGTATCCCTGCTATCGTATATTCACCTGCTAAAGTAATGTGCCTGAAATACATGCTCATAATTCTAACAGAGCGTATTTGATTTTATATAACAATCACTCACCTCTTTCCATTTAAATAAAATGTCTTCGACAGCGAACTGCCGATCGCTATAAAATTTTCGGTACTGTTTACTTCGGCAATGTGAATGTTACGCGCTTCTGTAGGTATTGTTACGACCTCTCTATATCCTGCTTCAGGACTTTGTTTGGTATAAGTCCCCTGGATTGTATCACATTTTGAGCTGTCTCCATGACAAATCCCACATATATCTTCCTCGGCGTTAGAATCTACTACCCAATCGCAACCTACTTTCTAAAAGATTTTCTTAAAATACTTCACTTTTGGGAATAATTTCCGTATTACTCTACAAATTCCTGATATGCAAACGTCTCGTTTTCCTAAATTGCAGGCGGTGCCGTCTAGTGCGTGCTCGCCCCACGGGATTATCATCGTTTCATTGGAGTCGCTGCAGTAAAGTTCGCAAGGCTCATCTAAATGTGTGTGCTTACTTGACGATTTAATGGATAATTAAGAGCGTTACCTTTGTCAAAGTAAGGTGTCCAAGTGTAAAACTGCCCTTGATACGTATGGTTATTATAGCTCGAGCACTGAGTTTCTCGGAAGGATGGTTGGTTGTCAGGACATGGGTCTGTATTACAAATTTTATATCGACTACGTTCTCCAATACAAAAGTGTCCTCCAGATGTCGGAGCGGGATGATCGCAGCTTCTCTTCATGATGGAAACACCCGTTCCACATGTGCGCGAGCACTCGCTCCATTCGCTCCATTCGCCCCATCCACCGTCAATTGCAAGCGGCGGTTCAACAATCGGAACGCATTTTTGATCTTGACACCACTAAAAGTGCAACTTGTGATCAGTGCCACTCACATAGTGATTTACCTTGTGTTTGCCACACTGTGTTCCAGGGGCTGCGGGGCGTAACTGAGACTTGCAAGTCATGTTTACTTCGCACCACAAGCGGGAACATATTTCAACAGGCTGCGAGCACACCTTGGCATCCAAACCAAACTGCAGTCGACATTGTAGTTCAGCGTTGTACATAGCACCTGCCGGTAGTTCCGGATAATGGTAATCTTCTACCTCTCCAGGCTCATCTTGCAAACATTCTCCTAAGCCTTTACTGGAATGAGAGGGTTACTAAATTACTGGCAGAAGCACGTTACTTACTCCAGAAATATGGTAACTTCGCGCCTGCTGCACCTCGACCAACTTACTCCGATCGTATCCGCTTCGAAACTGGGTGTCATAACGTGCAATTTGTTCCCTTCTTTATTACTGCAGCCTATTTTATCTGTATCATGGTACATCCCAAAACTAAAATGACTCAATTACATTTATATAACGGACTTTTAAAATTAGTACTTGTGACCCATTTCGTGCGAGATTGTGTGAGCTAGAGTTATTCCATTATCCTCGTTTACGCTGCAACTCCTGTTTGAGTTGCACATTCCGCCAATATGAGCAACACCTAGCGTATTACAAGGAGTATCTTTTCGCGCACATATATCCTTTCTTGTGACCAAAATGGCAACATCGTGATGATACGGGTCGTTGTCGTCGACTGGATTCAGTTTCTTTTGCCACTTGCAGAAATTCTTTAATGTTACATCGGCGTTAATAGTTACATTTAGATCTTTTTCGGATATTGGATCGTCCAAAAGAATAATTCTCACAACAACAACGTTAATGGAGTTGCCAATACTTGGATCTAAATAAAGAGAGGAAACCTACAAGCCCATGTCAATTAATCGAAATTAAATCGGACACTTTACCATATTCATAATGGTTAGGAGGTAGGTCTCCACATCTCCGTCTTCGTGGAAATCCATCATTGATTGATCTGCAACTAAAAGAGTTTCAACAAATCTACGTGAACTAATTGATCGTACAGCTCTTCCATTTCTACGCCTAAATTTTCTTTTCTTGTGGTCTCGTCTTTTAATGCGTTTTTCTTGTATGGATACCTTTCCGATTTCTTGCTGCCATGCGATCCTAAATTGTTAACTTGTTAAGCTGTAGGTGGAAAAGCAAAGTGTCTCACTGTGATGACTTCCTGGGCTCGCGCGTTCCGCAGTTTTGTAAATGCTTTCTTTTTTTCTTCTTTCGCCTTTTGTTTGCGTGAGGTGTTAAGACCGCCGATCTTTTGAAGATCAAGTGCTTGTGTCCGGGTTCTGTTATTGGCAAATCGTGGTGGTGGGGCTCTAGCCAGTATTTCTCCGATTTTTTATGTATTATTCCTACCTTTTGTTTGATCTGATTAGTGTACATGCATTTCCAGTTGCTGTTTACTTACTAATCCATTGCACGTTGATAGGGACACCTTGGAATCGGGATGTCCATGAATTGTACCATGATAGTGGCAAAGAATAGATTCTGGTTTCGGTTTGGTTCTCGTATAAATATTTCGTTTGTACCTCTCAATGACGGTGTGCTTTGTGATGAAATGCGTTGCCGGGTGTAAAACCAGGAAATAGTCTTGGTTTGAAATGGTGACGTTGAAGTGCAAGGGCCCGTCGTGTTCGTTGTGAAATGTAGTTACGTTGTGCGAAAGGTGGGTACCATTAGCTGACACTCTTTTAGGTACGAAAACTTCCGCTTCTGATAATTGGTTTGAATAAAGCCCTGAAAAACATAATCACCTCTGTAATTGATTTCGTAAAACAAAGTGGATGGATAATAAATTAATAAAATTTATCATCTTTGATGATAGTAATAAATGTTTGCCTAATCAATTAAATTCATAAATTCAAACATTGTTAATATCTAACGGTGTTCAATAATACTGCAATAGTGAGACAGTGGGCGGTAGGCACGTAATCGAGGAGGAAGTAAGTGTGGGCTAAAGAAATTTTATAAGTACCTAATTTGTTACTTATAGAACCCGAAGCAATTTGTTATGATATGATATATCACTGTCAATTTTTTTTCTTACAGGTATTCTTTTCTAGATCGCATGTCGATTTTACATGAAATTAGTACCTAGCAATCTTGAAAAGGAAATTGATTTCATACGGAAATGACATTATCACTGGACAGATATCTTCTATTATAAGCACTACTGACTAATGCAACAACGAACTAGACAATATAATACACTCTATTCCAATTTAGAAAAACAATGGCCCGTCAAGTTATCGAGATATAGCTTTATTTTAAATGAACACATGTCGGGTTGGACGTTGAGGTATAGGTCCAGTCACTTGCAGTGAATACGGGTCGTTTAATTACTAATCAAATGTTCATTTAAATTCATTTAATTAATCTGGCGAGTTTCCTTACGGTTAAACACAAAACATTTTTGCGTATTGTTTGTTTATTTGTGTCGTTGTAAAAAAGATTATTTCCTAGAATTATTCATAATAGGGAAATGCTATTATCAGTTATCAATTTGTTTTGTTAATTCATCCATTTATTTGATTTATTTGGTATTTCGTTTATTTTTATAAAAGAATGATGTACCTAATTATCTAGAGATAAGGATGCCTTTTAATCGGAAATAGTATATTGAAAGACAAGTGTTACAATGCGACCTATTGTAATACGACTATCTTGTGGCACGAGTGGCGACGCGAAGCGTAGCCACGAGTGTCCGCAAGATAGGAGTATTACAATAAAGCATTGTAACACGCGTTTTTCATACTATTTTTTCTATTTCGGTGCTTTAATTTAATTTAAAAAATCATTATCAGAAACTATAGGGAAACATTAGAGCTAACATGTTTTATGTTGGGAACACTTTTTATGCCGTTAAGTTTTAGGTTGGCAGCGTAGTAAGACTGACATTTTGAAGTTCAAACATGGAAGTACCCACCGAAGTACCTACTTGTACTAACTAGTAACTGCCAACTTAAGAGATGAGTTACCAAAAAAAACGACTACAATCACTGTCTTTGTACAACTGTTTTCGGCCAAAAACAGTTGTACAAAATCATCATTGTGACACCGAAATAGAAAAAATTGTTTGTTTACGTACAAAACTGCTTTAAATAAGATAATTCCGCCTACGTGACTGATATAACGTCTGTAGCAAGGTGTTGATTGGTTTTCCGAATTGCCAGGCGTCGATAATTGGATAAGAAATTTCGATTTGTTTAAGAAGGGAAGACACGTTCAAATACCGGAGTTAGCGTTTAGAAGGTGCCTTTTTCCAATTTCAAGGCCGAGTTGCTGTCCTTTCGTCGTTTAAACAAATTCGTTGATCCTCCAAGAGAGGTCAGTACAGGGTGATCAAGAATCCAGCCAAGTTCGAGTTAAAGTTTTGAAAAAATTGTACGTGACAGTGTGGGATAGCAGTTTTCATTGAAGTTGTTGCCCACGTTGTGGTACAAAAATGAATATTTTATTGTTATTTCTTTAATTTTGTGTTCAAATACTTACTATTTAGTTTTGAAATACAAAATAATATAATAAAACGCGGTCATTTTAAACGATGATTGGAGAGGAATTTCGGATATACTAAAAAAATCGTTCATGCCTAAGTGCTCAAAATGTGGGTTTGCCGAAATAACCTGTCGGCAGTTGTAAAAACGCGTGTTCGTAAAAAATAGGGCATTTCTACTTAGTGCCTCAAAGAGTTCTCTTCCAAGAAATGCTCTGGTCATCCAACCTGGGCATGTGCGAGATTTACATTATGAAGCTAATTATAGTGCTAGTTTCGAATATAATATGGGAGTTTTCGGGGATCTAGGAGTTCCCCTTTAGTCCCCCGAAAACTGGTAAAATTATCATCTATATTAGGCATTATTTTTGAATGTACAGGGTGCCATATTATTACGGTGTCAATAATTAATAAAGTTTGTTTAATACCACACTGTATATCTTTACATTTCGATGTTATTTGTTAACCTCTACATTGAACCTTGAACTTTTTGATTTTTTGTCGGTGTTACCATCTTATTAATTTTTTTCCGAATAATTCCTCGTAATATAATGCAAGTTCCACTTTGATAAATCGTACTTGTTTTTTGAAGTTAGGAAATACCTTTGAGCAATAATTTTGATCAGAATAAAGGGCTACTGTTTAATAATGGTGCTTCAAAATTTCAAAGTACCATAACTGTTTTTTTTTGGGTCCGTTAACTAGGCCCCCCCACTGAGAGATTTGATAGTCGTATTATTTTGAAATGAATGCGCTCGTTATGCGGTCATTGCGCCACCGATAATAACTCTTGCGCCATTATCGTTTTTTAGAAATCCGAAAAAACATTTGGGGGGGGGCCAAGTGAACGTAGCCCCCCCCAGTACGTATTTTGTCTCTTGTAACTAGGTCACCTGATACATTTGGTTATGCGCTCAATTGCGCCACTTGAATTAAAGCTAGCGTCATTACGGTTAAGCCGTGACAAATTTTCAAAAAGTGGGGGGGGGCAACTTGACGTTTTTAAAAGTGTATGCGCTGAAATGCGCCGTAAAAAGATATCTTTGCGCCATTATTGTTTTTTGGTTATCCTTAAATATATGAACCGAATCCCCCATAACGCATTTTGCTACCGGTATTTGTGCCACTTGATACATCTGGTTATGAGCTCAATTGCGCCACTTGAATTAAAGCTAGCGCCATTACGGTTAAGCCATAAAAAATTTTTAAAAAATGGGGGAGGGGGGGCTAACTTAACGTTTTCAAAAGTTACGTTTTTTAACATGTTTTTTCTACTACATCGTACCTTTCATCATGCGCTAAAATGCGCCGTAAACAAAAATCTTGGCGCCATTATAGTGTTTCAGAAACACTATACAGGGTGTTTTTTTGGGAGCTTTAGTTAAACGATTCTGGGAAAGTAAAATAGGTAGGTTTTTAAAAATTTTTATTTAGGAGTTACTCCGAAGGCCGAATCGATGTAAAATATTTTCAAAATGGACGCACTTCCGGAAATAACTTTTGAAAACGCTTAGACCCTCCACTTTTTAAAAATTGTTTATGGCTTAACCGTAATGGCGCTAGCTTTAATTCAAGTGGCGCAATTGAGCTCATAACCAGATGTATCAAGTGGCACACATACCGGTAGCAAAATGCGTTATGGGGTGATTCCGTTCACTTGCCCCCCCTCCCCTCCCAAATATGTTTAAGGATAACCAAAAAACAATAATGGCGCAAAGATATCTTTTTACGGCGCATTTCAGCACATATTTGAGAGTACAATTTCGTATGAAAAGATGTTAAAAAAAAGTTACTTTTAAAAACGTTAAGTTGGCCCCCCCCGCTTTTTGAAAATTTGTCACGGCTTAACCGTAATGGCGCTAGCTTTAAATCAAGTGGCGCAATTGAGCGCATAACCAAATGTATCAGGTGACCTAGTTACAAGGGACAAAATACGTACTGGGGGGGGCTACGTTCACTTGCCCCCCCCCCCCCCCAATGTTTTTTCGGATTTCTAAAAAACGATAATGGCGCAAGAGTTATTATGGGTAGCGCATATGAGCGCATAACGAGGGCATTCATTTCAAAATAATACGACTATGAAATCTCTCAGTGGGGGGGCCAAGTTAACGGACCCTTTTTTTTTCAAATGGAACTACAACTATTTTATTTCGCTATTCGATAGTTTGTTGTGTTTTCGTCAATTTTTATAAGGGATGACAATGTACAAACCAGTAGTTTACAGGTTATTCAATATTTTTTAGAAAAGTATACCTCCCCATAAGTTAGTTACATGTTTATGCAATTCAATAAATGTAGGTATAGTATTAACAAAAAAAGAAAGACAACTTCTATTTAAGTTATAAAGCTAAAATCCGTGAAAGTTAAAAATTACCGATTCCTTCTTCGTGATTTTGTTTCTAAAGCAGTCAGATAAATGCCGTTCACAAACCAAAAAATTTGTGTAAATCTCTTCCAGAATCATTAATTCAGTCAGATAGTTTAATTACTTGCAAACAATTCTTAAAAACCTCAGGCTCCATTTTTGGGAAACGGTACCTTTTTGCAAATTTGTCCGTACAATATTTGTCACACAACATGTACGTTTGGGCCTTGCTTGCTGGTAATTAATTGTATTATTATAATATAATCATCTTAATTGTATACATTGTAATAACTAATCTTAAATACATAGCAAATAAGCCATAAATCAAAATTCAAAATTTAAATTTTATAATCACACTGACATTATGCACACAAACTGTGCGCCATCTATTGAATGTTCTCTAAACTTATTGTATTGATACAGTTTTCCCCCTTAGGATTCTTTTCTAATTTTGTTTGTTCAGAAAACACCACTATAAATCCAAACGCTA